GGTGGTGGTGGGGGTGCTGTTAGGACCCCATCTTCAAGGTCTGAAACGAGTGTGAGAAATGTGAGGTGGCTGGGGAAGAAAGTGGGTCAACTCCCATTCCTGGCTCTCACTCACCTGGCTTGAAAGGCTCAGCCACCTCTGTGTGGAAGGTGGGCAGCTCTGGAATGGTACCAGGGGCGGAGGGGGCAATACCAGGGCCCAGATCAGCACTGTACATGAGGTCATCAGCGATGCCTGGCAAGTCGGGCAGGTAGGATGGCACGTCGATCTCGGGCACTTGGCCCAGGTCAGGCACATAGAAGTAGTTCTCTGGAACCTGCAGAATTAGGTGGGAGTACATGAGTCAGGTGTTGCAGGGATCATGAGCCTGGCAGTTTGACCTTGGGGCAGTCAGTGGGGCTTGGGTGGGATGAGGGGCTCCACAGACCCCTCACCTAGGGAACCCTGGCAGGGCGCCACCTCCTCATTTACCTGTACCCCCACCCACCCAAGCACTATCTAGCTCTACCTGTTGCTCCAGCTGTTCTCTCTTGCTGATGGACAGAGGGGCATCGAATAGCTTCTCCTCTGTCTCTGCCCCCAGCATCACATGGGTCTTTGTTACAGCACCAGCCAGGGGGTCCAGGAAGACATACTTTTTGTACCTGCAGAGGTGGGGTGGATGTCAGGCAATCTGTCATCTGTTCTAGGCCCATGGCCCTAACCTACCTTTCCCACTTCATCAGGGGCCACAATTAAGTTTGTACTGTGGGTTCCCAGGCCTTACAAGGCAAAGCAAACTGGTCCTGGCTCTTCAGGCTGCAGACTTCTGCTGTACCTGATGCCCCTGGGTCCCCCACTAAGCCAGCCAGGCTTCCCACCACCCTTCTCTAGCACCCCTTCTGGTCATACAGGTTCTCAGTGGTGTTGAAGAGCAGCAAGGAGCTGACGGAGTTGATGTTGCTGGGAAGACCCCCGAGCCCCTCCTCGTCCTCGTCCTCTGGTTCCAGCTTGGTGGTCACACACACGGGGAAGTATTTCAGCTTCTCCTGGGGGTAGGGGATGGGATGTGACAGAAAGATGGTGGGCTTCAGGGCCAGACCAGTGACCTCCTGCCCCCATCCCATCAGAATCCTTTTGGGGACAGATTAGTTCCTCCCCCACATCCAGGACTGCCTCCAGTCACCCTGCAAGTGTGTGCGGCGGGTGTGCCCCTCATACCTGCAGGGCCCGCTCATCCAGGGGGCGGTGCTTGCTCTGGATCCTGTGGCGGGGGCGTCTCTGCAGGCCGAAGTCCTGGGCACCCATGAAGATGGAACTGTATTCCTGCAGGTGCTCTGGAGCTGGGTACTTGGCACTGGAGAACACCTGTGGACACAGGAGAGCCTGACATCACTTTTTCAGGGGCCCTGAGAAGTTCCAGAGAGCCTAAGTTGGGGTGGGGAGATTCAGAGGAGGAGGAAAGCTTGAGGTGTAGCTGGACAGTGAAGGGAGGGACCTGGGCAGCCTCAGAGGTACAGGGATATGGTAGAGAATGGGCTAACTGCAACTGCCCACCAGCCACAGGAACACATGAGCTACCTTGATGGCCTTCTTGCTGCCTTTGATCTTCTCAATCTTGGCCTGGGCCAAGGAGACCCTCTCTCCAATGGCCTGTAGCTGGCTCCGGCTCAGCTCTACTCGCTGGGAAATCCTGCCATAAAGAAAATTACAAGGGCTTGGGGCTGCTCCTCAAGCCCCTGCA